TCTGTAATGGAATACATTTTAAAAGTAACCTTCCCAACACTGGTCACAAACAACCGGTCTGTGAGCGGCTGCTGCCTGTGCTGTCATTGGTTCTTCAGCCAGCTGCAGCGTGGAGCAAAATGACAACAAACGAAAAGCTTCAATGAAATGAGTGTAACGAACAATCACCACAGCAGTTTTCTAATCCCTGATGTTGTCAGCCAATCAGCATCGTCCTTGGTGAGCTGCATGCTGTTTGCTTTCTTTCTTTTGTTTTTTGAGGACTGCACACAAACAACTCTGTGCAGGTAAATACCCACACAAACGCACACAAACGCACACAAACGCACACAAACGCAGTATTGTAAATCCTGCATCGTATAATCGGACTACTTTTTGCAATCAGATGAGTTTAGAAAGAATGCAGGTCAAAGGTCATCGGTTTTCAGATCAAGAGGCCATGTCCATCTCTTATATTTGTGCTTTTGAGATATTTCTGAGTAAATGCTAACTCAGCATAGTAACAGTTAAGAAGCATGTCATTAGTTTATTCATAAACTGAAACAAACTGAAACTTTGACTGGATGCTGGCAGTGAAAAATCAGAGGATTACTAAAGTTATTAGGAGTTCTTCTATAAGCAAGAATAAAGTCATTATCACAGTGAACAGTCTGGATCACCTTGAGCCACAATAGAAGCCAAAAATGAACAAACACAATGAAAAGAAATACATTTCACTGGAAAGACTTCTTATTCCTGTGTCTGAATCTTAAACAGTGTGTGCCGATCTAAAGCCGATCCGCAGTGCAAAAGATAACAGCTTACGTTTTTTAAAGCATATCTGCCAGCATGAACTAAGATAGCAGGAAAAACAAAGATCCCTGTTGACTTACCATCAAGGGCAGAAGGTCCTGGATTTTTATTCTCCTCTGCAAGCATAACTTCCTCTGTAAAAAAAACAGTAAGGTCAGGACTGAGCAGCTGATGGTTCACATGAAGCTCTACCGCCATCTGTTGTGATGTATTTACAGCGTTTTTGTTGCAAAACGTAACGCTTATATGTTGCATCGAATACCTCCCATGGTTCACAACTGACAGGATTATAGAAGATGAAAGAAATGATTATTTTTATTTCTCATTGAGGAAAAGTTCATCTGTGACTGGGACTAAAGCCACCTGCTCTGTCGATCCAGGCCCGATAGCCGTTGAGCTCCCTCTCAATCTGCTGCTGGCGTCTCAGCTTCATGAAGGCTCTGCGATTTTCAACTCTCTCTCTCTCCTTTGCAAATTCTCTGCAGAAGCAAACAGATGAGGCGCACTTTTAAAGGCTGCAGGGATACAGTATTCCTCTCGAAGAAAAAGCTATTGTTGTCTTGAACTTAATCTCTTCTCTCTCCGTGTGGAGATAATGACAATGGATCCTGAACTGACCTTTCTGTAAAACTAATTAACTTGCATAGACAGCGCCTAGTTTGTCAGTAATTCTATTTATCGGTGAACAAAGCAAGTCTAACTCCTCTTAAATCAACAAACAAACCGAGCTGGCTGTATGGCTGCAGCCCATCTCAGGGAACGACGAGGCCAAACCTGCGTCTGTTAGCAAACTACACAGTAACTCTAATGTAGTGTGTAGACTGACTAAACGCTTACTTGAACCAGGAAGATGTCATTTTAATTTCATTTTCTATTCTAAATCTTTAATTTGGCTGTTTGCTAATGACACACCTTTCCTCTAGCTCACAACTATTTGATAGAGGACGAGAAGTGAAAAAGCCAGTGCATTAAGAAAAGAAAAGAAAAGAAACGAAAAATCCCCTTAAATTTACATCAGTGTTGGAACAGGCTGAACCCACGACAGATTAAAATGTCAGTGGACTTACCCAGAGAGGACTCCCAACACCAGGTTCAGGACAAAAAAGGAGCCGATGATGATTAGAGGGATGAAGTAAAGCCAGTTCCATCTGGGGCCCAAGGCATCGTCGGTCTGAAATATATATATATATAAAAATCTTAGATAGTTCAAGACAGCTCAGAGCATGACCCATGCTGCCACAGGGAAAGACGCAGGTGTAAGGTTCAGGTCTGCAGGCAAGGAACCGATACAGACACTGTGTCCATAGATCTGTGGGGGTTATTCTCTTGGACATCATTAGATAACACGTTGTTTCTTTATTTTACAGCACCAGGACCAGCGTGACAACACAACTGCTGTTTATTCAAGCAGCTTTAGTTTTTGTGTACACAGCGCAGGTGCATATTTCTCTTAAACCTCAGGACGTCTTCACTGTCCGCAGATCATTTTCAGCAGCACAGTAGCGCTGATGTCATCCTTTTCTGTCCTCACTCATCGGTGAAGCTCATTCACCATCACTTTAGACGACATAATGCAATCAGTCTGGCAAATCGTACGCCTCCATCCATCTCAATAAAAACTGAAAGAGCAGGCAGCTGACCGCAAATTGCACCCTGGCACAGCAGCGTGCGTTTCGCTTTACTGAGATAAAAGCAAAAGCACACAAGCAAAAATGAACAATTAAAGGCTGTGCATGTCATGCATCCTTTCTTTTAGTGTTCTTCATATTGAAGAAAAACACAAACTGTCCTGCTCACCATTGTCTTTATTCAATTACTAACTGAATAAAAATAATGGTAAGCGGGACACATAACAGAGGTTAGAGTCGTTATTTCTAGATTAAACTTTTGAGACAACTCACAACACTCACAGGTCCAGAGGATGAGAACTAAAGAAAACCAACGTAGCTCTTTGCAATCATCTCCTACTAACATGTTCCCCCATATTCTCCATCCGCAGCTAAACTACATCAGAGGTCGCAAACATCCACTTAGCAGTCGTTAACATCCTGCAGCTAAAGCTGCTTTCTGTTCATTGAGGTTAATGGAGTCTGAATTGTAACAAACTACTGCTATGCTTTAATAATTTGCAGCATGTTAGCCGTCTTACATTGTAGAGTACAGTGGTCCATCCTTCCATGGTGATACACTGGAAGACGGTGAGTACAGCAAACAGGATGTTGTCAAACTGCGTGATGCCGTCATTGGGCCCGATCCAGGTATCGTTGCAGGTGTATTTGGCGGGACATTTACGCACGCCACACGGAAACTCGACCTCAGATGAGTCCATAGTCTCATTTTCTGAAGAGAGAGATGAAAAGTGAGAAAAACAGACCCACAGTAAGACAAGTGAAAAACCTGATCTGGTCCACTTTATTTAGCATGAAATGCTTAAACCAATCAATGTCCACTTTCTAGTAATCTGACCATCTATCGACACAAAATACTCGAGTATGTCTGTGTTATCAAACTGTCCATTCAGCTCGTGTGTGACAGGAGCTGCTCGGAGGTTAATGATACCTATGAATGTACAATGAGCCACTGTGCCAGCCTGCATTGTTGGGTTAATTATACAGAAGAGCGTTTGGTTTGATCACATCTCCAGGTGCAGCCTAGCATGGTGTGTGTCTGTGCCCGTGTGTATGCATTTGTGTTTATGAGTACAGCTACAACCTAAAGAAGAGCATAAACATGCACGAGACTGCTGTACACAAACATAACTTATCCATGTCGTCTCTTTGACATTCAAAGATATGTAAATAACATATCTTAATACTTTCAGAAATGAGGTAAAAA